AGGGATACTCCACCAGCGCGCGCCGCCGAGGCCCACCCGTCGCCCGAACCCGAGTCGGACGGGCGGCTGCTGGCAGGCTCCACCATGGGCGCGGCGAAGGAAACAGCCGTCCGCTCGCTGCCCTCAGGCAGGCCCTCGCAGTCCTTGACCTCGATCCCCTGCCAGATGAGAGAGGCTTGCGCCACCCAGCATGAGAGCTCCCTCACCACCTCCATCGTGCCGAAGAACTCACGCCTGGCCACGGGGCTGGAGCGGTGCAGCTCCGCACCTGCCTTGGCCCAGCGGTCGGCATGACCGTTGCCGCGGAGGTCCGCCTCCGTGATCTTGCCGTCCATCACGTCACGGGCGGTGCAGTGGGCTGCCACTTTGGTAACCTTGAGCATGTCCACGTCCAGCGAAGCGTAGATCCCCTCCCAGAGATGGGCATTGGGCTTGTTGGCTGCCGTCGCGTACCTCTTGCCCAACGTGAGGCAACTGACCGTAGACGCACAATCGATGAGGATCTCGTCCACACACGGGCCCAGGAAGCGGGACAGCATCCAGACCGCGAAATCCTCGCCGTCCTTGGCCGACTGGAAAGGGCAGAGGTCTTGGCGCACACTGCCGTACACCGCGCACTCCATGTTGCCGTCGGAGTCGCACTGCACGATGCTCCAGCCCGCACGCCGCAGGCTCGCGTGCTCGGGGTCGAGCGCCGACCCATCCAGGTAGAGACGCCCCCCGAGGAGACCGTCAGCGGGGCGATTGCGCCACGTGACAGCCATGGCATCCGACCTCGGTGCGGCCCTCGGGGGCTGAGGGAGCCAGCAGCGCGCAAAGCATTCCCCCGCCTCCTCACCTCGGCCACGTGCACGGTGTGCGCAGCGCCGAAGGCGGTCGGAGGTAGAGTCGCGCCTCGGCCCCGCGAGGACGGGACACTCGAACAGCCTGTGCCAGAGACTGCCGCGGGGTGCATCGCAAGCGCAGCAGCGAGCATGCTCCCTCTCCCCCGCCGAGTGCAGACGGGTCTGGGGCCAGTGGGCGTTGGAAAGGAAACTCACCACCGCCGCCTTCTCCCTGGGGCTGAGCTTGCTGCCCGGCCCGAGGACCTCCGAGAAGGCCTCCCAGAACAGGGGCAACGGGGGGAGCGCCCCGTGGCCTAGGCGGGCCAGCTCCGACCTGTCCGAAGCACGCCGCGCCCCTGCCGCTGCCAGCAGGCCCAGCTCGCGCGGCCCCATCATGCGCAGGTCCAGGATGTGGCCGTCGTCGGTGGCGAGGCAGGTGCCTTGGACGAGCCTCCAGCCCACCCTGGTGAGCGAGAGGGCCAAGGCATCCACTGGCGTACGGCAGTGCGCCCATGGGGCTGCTGCTCCCGCGTGCCTCCGCTCCGCCTCCTGCACGGCCGCCTCGAACATGCGCTGCGAGACCTCCCCCGACTGAAGGAGGCTGGCCGCCATCTGCACAGCGGCCGAAGCAGCGCGGGGCTCGGGTCGAGGTCGATGGACCGCATGACCTCCACCGCTCTGAGCCTCAGCCCGAGTGAGGCGCCCTTGGGGAACTTCCCAGCCGAGCGCACAGCCGCCAAACGCCACGCATGAAGCTCCCTGTCAGGTACACCAGTCACAGTACGCCCCCACAGCATCGCTGCGGTGGGCCCAGCACGGTGGACCATCTCGGTCGCCGCCCCAGCTGAGCGAAGCACCCCGAGCCCGCGTCCACGCCGAAGGCCGCCAACCGCGCGCCCTGCTCCTTCATGCACGCCTCGACGAGTGATGTTGGCGTCGGTGCCGAGGTTCCTCGCCTGCAGTCCCCTCTTGAAGGCCAGGCCCTGCGCAGCCCACTCCTCGGAAAGCTCCTTGGCGAGCTGCGGCGACGAGGCCAGGAAGACCGACTTGCTCTCGTTGAGTGGGAGGTGCTGCTCACGCAGCAGGCGGACCACTTCACAGCTGGAGACCAACATCTGCCGCTTAACTAGTCGGGCCGTGCCGACCGCCTGGAGCGAGATGTCGTCAACAACATTCCTCGGCGTAACCAAAGGGCACGTCGCCCCCGCTGCCAGGAGGGCGCCCAGCACTGGGAGCTTCGCAACTGCTGTCGCACACGCACACCCAGCCAAAACCGCACCCGTAGTGCCGAAATCGGGGGAAGCCATGCCCGCCGCGAGGATCATCCTAGGGGCCTGGTAGGAGGTGAGGAGGCCGCGCAACAGCCTGAGGTTGAACCCGAAACGCACTGCATTCGCCCAGAGAACATCGTGACGCACGTGCTCGTAGAACTTGCTGATGTCCAGGAAGAGGCTCGCGGCCTCGAACTGCTGGTTCGCCTTCGCGAACCCCGCAAAACAGTTGTGCAGCCACCCAGCCCGCTCACAGTCCCGCCCGTCACGTCCCCAGAAAAAGGGGAAGTCGTGGTCAGCCCCCCAGCGGGCGCAGCAAGGCTGGCGGAGGCGCGACCACAGCCGCAGGACCAGCGGCAGCAACGCAATGGGCCTTACCCCTCCATCTGCCTTCGGGATGAACACCATCAGGGAGACCTGCCCGCTGATCGATGCAGGGGCGTCGTCGTAGGCCGCCAGGATGTCCAGGATGCGCTGCTGCAGCGCCACGGGCAGCAGGAGGATCTGCCGAGGGTGCAGAGAGTCGCACCCGAGCCCCACCGAGGGGCTGTAGCGCTTGCAGGCCGCCTGGAGCTGCTCCAGCGAGATGGGAGGCAGCCGCCACTCGCCAACGTCCCAGCTGCTGGCCCCAGCGCCCAGGGCAAACCCGTCCTGGAGCCACAGCTTCTGCCAGACACTCGTGAGCTCGCCGATCGCTGCCATCCCAACGAGCCTCCTGCCAGAGTCAGCGTCCCTGACCGTCGGCGGGGGCGTCGCCTTCGAGAAGCGGTGGGCCAGACGACCGCCCTTCTCGACCGCTGTCTGTGCCCAGTTGCGCCAGGCCTGGGCGCTCTGAGCCGCATCGCGGCGCTGCGATGCACCGAGCAGCCCTTGGAGGTCCCGAACGGCATCAGGGCTGCCGTGGACCCCCGCCTGAAACACCAGGTCGCCAAGTCGATCAGGAGCTGCGCCAGGAAGAGCCCCACCGACCGAGTCGGCAGCCTCCTGCACCGCCTCTAGCAAGAGCTGCGCCCTGAGCCCGGCCTGGTGCCCGTACCAGTCTGCATGCCGAGGGTGCCAGCGGCCAGTCCTCTCGGCGCGCAGCCGCTGGAGGGCCACGTCCAGGCAGCTCCTCAAGCGGTGCGTGAGGAGGCTGAACCTGAACCTGGCATCCCGCCTGACCAAGGCACTGAGGGGCTTGAGGGTCAGCCGCGGCCCCTCTCCTCGGCCGAGATGACGGGCCAAGTCTGCCTGGACGATGCCGTGGATGCCGACCAGGGTGCCTTCAGCCGCCGCCGCCCACTCGCTGAAGGCGACGGAGAGGTTGGTCGGTGAAGTGCCTGTGTCCCAGGACCACGCGACGCTCCTGGGCGTGACCTGTCCTTTCTTGCCAACCGAGTAGCAGACAACCTCCGCGTCCTCGTGTGCCCGAAGGAGCTCGGGAGCAACTTCGGGGAAGCGTGCGGGCCTGGACGGAACCTCCACCAACGCATCTGCCCGAACGTCCTGGAGACGAAGCAGAACAGGGCGATGAAGGTGCAGACCGAAGCCCTCGAGCGCGGTGGCGCAGGAGGCCGTGCAGGCTGCCAACGCCGCGGAAGCCACGAACCAGTCGTAGAGGTGGTCACATCCCTCGGCATGGCACGTCGCCTCCGAGGGCCCCAGGACATGCCCCCGCACCGCAGCAGGCCACCCCAACTCCTCCAGCGGCTCGGGCTCCATGTTGAAGTCGGCTTGGAGGACCCACGGGATGTCGGCAGAAGAGCCCGTCACCTCCGAGATGGCCGAAAACAAGTCCAGGTTGGTGCCTCGAGGGCCCACAGAGTGCTGAAAGTACCCAGCAAGCACCAGGACCCGAAGGCCCGAGGCGGCGGCGACCTCCACCCCGATGAGGCGGTGTCGCAAGGCCGAGGGCAAAGGGTACGCAGACTCGTCGGCCTGCAAGCCGTCTCGCACCAGAATCGCCACGCCGCCTGAGGTCGCCTGGGGCCCTTGCTTCTCCGTCGGCGCCGCCTCGTGGAGGAAGGCCGCGTAACCCAGGCCGCGGGCCTGAGCCGCAGCACTGGGCAGGCGCTCATGCGGGAGCCTCGTCTCCTGCAGCGCCACCACGTCAGGCCAGTAGTCGTACGCCTTGAAGAAGGCCTCGAGGGCTTCAATGCTCCTGCTCCAAGCGTTGCCATTGCAGCCGAACATGACTAGGCCAGCTCGAAGCTGCTGGCCTCCTGCCCTGCCGACCAGCTGCGCCTTGCCGATGACGGCTGCCTCGCGAGCGGCCCGCCCACCCGCGTCAGACACGGGGCCCGCTGCGCCCCTGGTCGCGGGACCCTCCGCCCCCACCAGGACTGGAGGGGGGCCCTGGCCCCTCGCTCCAGCGCTCCTCATCGGCGTCGGCGGGCCGCTCGCCAGAACGGGAGGTGGCCGTCGCTCCCTCCGCCGCGCGCCATCGGAGGGCTGAGGAGGGGGCCGTCCCTCCGCCCCTCCGGTTGCCAGCGGGGGGTGCGCCTGCCAATCACCAACGGGGCCGAGAGCTGCGACGACGTGGGGCTGAATCCCACCGCTCTCGACCCCTGACTGGCCGTCGGGGGGCCACCTCGGTGATCCCGACCGCGCCAGCTGGCTACCTCGGGCGAGGGCGTTCGGCGCCGCCCGCCGCCTGCGGGGGGCGCGGACGCGCCAGCGGCCGTCACAGCGCCTCCTCCACCTGTCCCAGCAGCTGGGCCCGCGCACATCCCGAGGGGGAGGCGTCCCGCTGTCCCCGACGTCGAGGCCGACTGTGGAAGCTGACCACTCCCACGCTCCAGCATCACCCACGGCGCGGCCCGTACCCAGCAGCAGGAGCAACGACAGCAGCCGCAGCCACCAAGGGGTCGCCGTCCGAGAGGGCCGCCCCTTGCTCGGCGAGGGCCTTGGCGAGGCAGGGCTCCACCTGAGGCCACGCGCCCAGGGTCGCCCCGTGTTGGCCGCGGGCCGCTGCAGGGCCGTAGGGTCCGCCCGCTGGCCTGGCCCGCGTGGCGGGCGGCCCAGCCGCGGTCGGCCCTGCCGGCGGGGCGGCAGCGGGAGGGGCGGCCGCAGGCCCACCTGAGGCCACGATGTCGAGCGGCATGTCGTCATCCTCAGTCGCGAGGCCGTCGTCACCGACGCTGTCGCCCCAACGCTTCCTGGCCGAGCTGCTGCGGGGCCTGAGCACGTCAGCGACCGCCTCCTTCTGCGTGTTGAGAATCTCGACGATCTCCGAAAACCTGGGTGGCAGATCGGCTCCGTGCTGCTTGAGGAGATCCGAAAGGGCGCCGACTTGAGTGAGCAACCCCTGGACGGCGTCCCCAAGCGGGCTCGGCGCGCCTCCGACAGCTGCGTTGGCCCGCTGGATCGCCTGCTGCGTGACCTTGGCCCTGGTCTCTTCCAGCTCTGCAATCTGCCCAGTGACTTCATCAACTGAATCAACCCCCAACTCGGCTGCCGACAGCTGCTCCTGCTTCTCCGCGATGAGCTCTCGCAGCTCGGACGCCTGCAGCTGGAGCTTCTCCTTCTTGGTACGTGCCGAGGCCAGCTGGCGCTCGACCTTCTGGATGGCGTTGGCCTCAATGTGGAGCACCGAGTGAGGCGGGCGCTCCGTCCGCTGGGCCTCCTGGACGGACCGCTCCAGGGCGGCGACCTGGTCCTTGCCCTGCTGGAGGGCGTTCTCCGCCTCACGCTGGAAGTCCACTGAGAGCCCGAGCGCCGAGGCCCCCTGGAGCGTGTCGACGCGCTCCCTGGCCGCCGCGAGCTGCGCCTGCAGCTCCTCGATCTGGGTCTTGGCCTCTCCCCAAGGCCGCGCTCGCCGTGCCCTGCTGTTGGGGGCGCTGCTGGGCGCGGTGCTCCCCGAGAGGGCCCGCTGGGAGGCCGAGCGCCTCGCGGCGCGCTGCTCAGCCCTTCCCCTGGGCTGCTGCACGAACCCGTCTGCGTCCACCCGCGGGGGGGGCTTGTCGGAGCGGTACTCCTTCGTCCATGGGGGAGCACTGGTGCCACACGCCTTGCACGTCCACCGCTTGTCACACCAGTTCCAAGCGTCGCAGCCACGCTTAGCACACAACCAGTACGCCCGCCTAGCCAGCCCCGTGGCAACCTCCGACATGGCGGCTCACCGAGGGAAGACTGACAGCTGCTCGGCCGATACACACGGACCGTGCTCTTGTGTGGTCTGCCGTGCTCCTGTTGGTCTGCCGTGCTCTTCTGTGGTCTGCCGTGCTCCTATGGGGTCTGCCGTTGTTCGGCCGTCTTGAGGGCACTCTTCCTGCATAGTCTGCCGTGCTCCTCGTCTTGGTCTGCCGTGCTCCTCGTCTTGGTCATCCTTTCCGTCGTCTTGAGGGCGCTCTTGGTGCCTGGTCTGCCGTGCTCCTCGTCTTGGTCTGCCGTGCTCCTCTCGGTTCCTAAGCCTGGTCCGCCGTGCTCCTCGTCTTGGTCTGCCGTGCTCCTCTCGGTTCCTACGCGCGGTCTGCCGTGCTCCTGTGAGGAGCACGGCAGACCACAGGAGCAAGGCAGACCACACAGGAGCACGGCAGACCACACCTCGATTTTTTGAGGATGTCTCGAGCGAAATGGCCGTGGTCTGCCGTGCTCCACACGGGAGCACGGCAGACCACCTGCTCATTTTCTGAGGACGTCCCGAGCGAAAACGTCATTTTTGACATAAGAGGTTCTAAAACACCTCTGTCGGCATCTCATTTTTTCGAGGATGTCTCGAGCGAAACGCTCATTTTTCATGCATAACAAAAATTTTTGATATTTTTCAACATCCCGATTTTTTGAGGATGTCTCGAGCGAAACCGTCATTTTTGACATAAGACGTCTTAAACGATAGCCTCCAACACCTCGATTTTTCGAGGATGTCTCGAGCGAAATGGCCATTTTGGGGAACCTGACCGGACAAGAACGGGAAGCGTCCTTTTGTCCCCTGGGCTTATGAGATATTCCACTTTTTTAGTACGGCATACCACAGCAGTGCCACGCACCACTGCCGTGCTCCTTTGGGGTCTGCCGTGCTCCTGTGGAGTTTGCCGTGCGAACGTGTGGTCTGCCGTGCTCCTGTGTGGTCTGGCGTGCTCCTGTATGGTCTGCCGTGCTCTTGTGTGGTTTGCCGTGCTCCTGTGTGGTCTGCCGTGCTCCCGTGGGGTCTGCCGTGTCCTGTGTGGTCTGCCGTGCTCCTGTGTGGTCTGCCGTGCTCCTGTGTGGTCTGCCGTGCTCCTTCTTGGTCTGCCGTGCTCATGTGGGGTCTGCCGTGCTCCTGTGCGGTCTGCCGTGCGAACGTGTGGACTGCCGTGCTCATTTGGGGTCTGCCTTGCTCCTTTGTGGTTTGCCGCGCTCCTGTGTGGTCTGCCGTGCTCCTGTGTGGTCAGCAGACCCAGGGCTGAGGGAAGGCTGGAGCAGTGCTCTGGTGGTCCATCACCCGCCCAGCTCCGTCCCCTCCCACTCTGGACCGATCTTGCGGGAAGCTGGCTTGTGGCAGCGCATCGCGCGTCCATAGCGTTCGTGTGCTTGCTTTTACCTCCTTTAATGTCTGCTCCACCTCTCCTTGAGACGCAGAAGCCTCCGAGCGCCGGGAGCAGAAATGATGCACTTTCGAAAAATCTGTTTGGATGAGTTTTGTTAGCGCGGCCTCGGAATTCAATTTTTCCGGCGACGGCCAGAGCCGACGCCAGCGCTGGATCCGGCTCGGCCGCCAGCCCAGGTGCCGGCCCGGGCGTTCGGTTCGAGCGCCGGCCTGGGTGCCGGAATCGGCCCGGAAGGGGTTCCAGGGCGCCGGGAGCAGAAAATCAATATTTTCGAAAGAAAAATATGTCTTGGAGTGGCCTTTTTTCCGCACCGCCTCGGAATTCAATTTTCCGGCGCCGGCCGGCGCCGGAACCGGCCCGGGCGCTGGCCCGGGTGCTGGCCCAGGCGTTCGGCTCGAGCGCCGGCCCGGGTGCCGGAAGCGGCCCGGAAGGGGTTCCCGGGCGCCGGGAGCAGAAAATCAATATTTTCGAAAGAAAAATATGTCTTGGAGTGGCCTTTTTTCGGCACCGCCTCGGAATTCAATTTTCCGGCGCCGGCCGGCGCCGGAACCGGCCCGGGCGCTGGCCCGGGTGCTGGCCCGGGCGTTTGGCTCGAGCGCCGGCCCGGGTGCCAGAAGCGGCCCGGAAGGGGTTCCCGGGCGCCGGGAGCAGAAAATCAATATTTTCGAAAGAAAAATATGTCTTGGAGTGGCCTTTTTTCGGCACCGCCTCGGAATTCAATTTTCCGGCGCCGGCCGGCGCCGGAACCGGCCCGGGCGCTGGCCCGGGTGCCGGCCCGGGCGTTTGGCTCGAGCGCCGGCCCGGGTGCCGGAATCGGCCCGGAAGGGGTTCCAGGGCGCCGGGAGGAGAAAATCAATATTTTCGAAAGAAAAATATGTCTTGGAGTGGCCTTTTTTCGGCACCGCCTCGGAATTCAATTTTCCGGCGCCGGCCGGCGCCGGAACCGGCCCAGGCTGCCGTGCTCCTGTGTGGTCAGCCGTGCTCCTGAGGCGTCTACGGTGGTGGGGCTGCCTACTCATTTGGGGTCTCTGCCGTGCTCCTGTGGTCGGCCGTGCTCATTTGGGGTCTGCCGCGCGCCTGTGAGATCTGCCGTGCTCCTGTTGGGGAAACGCCAGCGGCGTTCGGGGTACAACAAAAAGGCGCGTTTATGTTGTACCCGCGCGCGGTCTGCCGTGCTCCTGTGGGTTCCGCCGTGCTCCTGTGGCGTCTGCCGTGCTCCTGTGGCGTCTGCCGGGCTCCTGTGTGGTCTGCCGTGCTCCTTTGTGGTCTGCCGTGCTCCTGTGGAGTCTGCCGTGCTCCTGTGTGGTCTGCCGTGCTCTTGTGGTCTGCCGTGCTCATTTGGGATTTGCCGTGCTCATGTGGGGTCTGCCGTACTCCTGTGTGGTCTGCCGTGCTCCGGTGGTCTGCCGTGCTCCTTTGGGGTCTGCCTTGCTACTGTGGGGTCTGCCGTGCTCCTGTGTGGTCTGCCGTGCTCCTGTGGTTTGCCTTGCTCCTGTGTGGTCTGCCGTGCTCCTTTTGGGTCTGCTCTGCCGTGCTCCTGTGGGGTCTGCCGTGCTCCTGTGGGGTCTGCCGTGCTCTTGTGGGGTCTGCCGTGCTCTTGTGTGGTCTGCCGTGCTCCTTTGTGGTCTGCCGTGCTCCTGTGTGGTCTGCCGTGCTCCTGTGTGGCCTGCCGTGCTCTTGTGTGGTCTGCCGTGCTCCTGTTGGTCTGCCGTGCTCTTCTGTGGTCTGCCGTGCTCCTATGGGGTCTGCCGTTGTTCGGCCGTCTTGAGGGCACTCTTAGGGCATAGTCTGCCGTGCTCCTCGTCTTGGTCTGCCGTGCTCCTCGTCTTGGTCATCCTTTCCGTCGTCTTGAGGGCGCTCTTGGTGCCTGGTCTGCCGTGCTCCTCGTCTTGGTCTGCCGTGCTCCTCTCGGTTCCTAAGCCTGGTCTGCCGTGCTCCTCGTCTTGGTCTGCCGTGCTCCTCTCGGTTCCTACGCGCGGTCTGCCGTGCTCCTGTGGGGAGCACGGCAGACCACAGGTGCCGTGCTCCTATGGGGTCTGCCGTTGTTCGGCCGTCTTGAGGGCACTCTTAGGGCATAGTCTGCCGTGCTCCTCGTCTTGGTCTGCCGTGCTCCTCGTCTTGGTCATCCTTTCCGTCGTCTTGAGGGCGCTCGTCTGGTCTGCCGTGCTCTGGTCTGCCGTGCTCCTCGTCTTGGTCTGCCGTGCTCCTCTCGGTTCCTACGCGCGGTCTGCCGTGCTCCTGTGAGGAGCAGGGCAGACCACAGGAGCAAGGCAGACCACACAGGAGCACGGCAGACCACACCTCGATTTTTTGAGGATGTCTCGAGCGAAATGGCCGTGGTCTGCCGTGCTCCACACGGGAGCACGGCAGACCACCTGCTCATTTTCTGAGGACGTCCCGAGCGAAAACGTCATTTTTGACATAAGAGGTTCTAAAACACCTCTGTCGGCATCTCATTTTTTCGAGGATGTCTCGAGCGAAACGCTCATTTTTCATGCATAACAAAAATTTTTGATATTTTTCAACATCCCGATTTTTTGAGGATGTCTCGAGCGAAACCGTCATTTTTGACATAAGACGTCTTAAACGATAGCCTCCAACACCTCGATTTTTCGAGGATGTCTCGAGCGAAATGGCCATTTTGGGGAACCTGACCGGACAAGAACGGGAAGCGTCCTTTTGTCCCCTGGGCTTATGAGATATTCCACGTTTTTAGTACGGCATACCACAGCAGTGCCACGTACCACTGCCGTGCTTCTTTGGTGTCTGCCGTGCTCCTGTGGAGTTTGCCGTGCGAACGTGTGGTCTGCCGTGCTCCTGTGTGGTTTGGCGTGCTCCTGTATGGTCTGCCGTGCTCGTGTGTGGTTTGCCGTGCTCCTGTGTGGTCTGGCGTGCTCCCGTGGAGTCTGCCGTGTCCTGTGTGGTCTGCCGTGCTCCTTTGGGGTCTGCCGTGCTCCTGTGGTCTGCCTTGCTCCTGTGTAATCCTCCGTCCTCCTGTGGTCTGCCGTGCTCGTGCGTAGTCTGCCGTGCTCATGCGTGGTCTGCTGTAGTCCTGTATGGTATGCCGTGCTCCTGTGGAGTTTGCCGTGATCCTGTCCGTTATGCCGTGCTCCGTTGTGTTGTGTGCGTTCTGCTGTACTTCAGTATGTTCCGCCGTGTTACTGTACAGTCTGCCATGCTCCTGTGCATACAGCCGCGCTCCTGTGCGTTCTGTGTGTTCTGCCGTGCTCCTGCATCGTATGCGGTGCTCCGATATCTGGTACAGAATCTCACAAAGAGGCGCGATGCACAGAACAATGGGGTTTTTTTTTTTGAGATTCCGTCGTGTGCAATGCAAGCCGCAATTATGCATGTCACGGTGGCACCACGGAGCGCCAGTGGGTTTAAAGCATCACCACCGTATATAAAGCAGACATACCGTGCTAAGCGCGCGTTTCAATAACGTTCGCTCGAACTCAGAACGCGCGGCGAAGAGTAGGCGCTCCTATCGACGTCTTTGGGTAAAAAGCCTTACTCACACCAAATGCACTAAGATTTCGGACAGTCAGCAAAGTGCACTTGACAGCCCACATCGCAATCGCGC